CTACTACTGCTACTACTACTTATTTGTCCCAGGCCCTTTCCAGCCCTGGTCGTCTGCACCAGCCCTAACGGTATCTACTCGCAGATACGTATATGTCCCGATATTGCAGCTTCCTCTGTTTTTCCGTTTCGCTGCAGCAGGTAGCGGATGGAGGCGTAGTCAGGGGGGGAAAGTGAGGAGGGAGTAGGTGGAAGGGGGTAGGAAGGAAGGGGGAGTGAGGAGGAAGGAGCGATGAGAGAGGAGTGTGCCGAGGGCCGCCGTCGTTGCTGGTGGGTTCTCATCGCCACGGCTGGACCTGACTCGTTCGGGCTTGGGCCTCGGCGTGGCGGTGTCCTGTGTGTTGGCGTCGCCTGTCGGTCGCGCTTTCTTGTAATCCCCTTCCGTCCCCATACATGGGCTACAGATGTCACTTCCCTTCTCTTCCCGAAACATGGGCTGTATATTCTCCTTGCCCTGGTTTGATTGATAGGAGGGATGAACGAGGAGGACGAGAAGGAGGCTGCCCCCTATTCGAGGAGTTGGAGGAGGGTTAGCGATGACAGGGGAAGCAGGCACAAATCAGAAGTCGCCCTCCTAGCAGGTTCCCCCTGGGCACGTCTGCAGATGTACCACTCCGAGCACTTGCGCATCTTCACATTAGGCACCAATTCTGATCTAGGGAAACATCATGCATATGTTCGAGGCGCTCTAGAAAAAGGGTTTCGCCTTCGACGCGCGGTGGAAGCCGGCGGAAGTTTCGGTGGCGGCGTGCCCTTGGCGTAGGGCGGCGGAAGTAGAAATGATACATCAACATGGTTGGATCCAGGATTGCTGAAGTTCGCCCTTTGCCGCTGTGCCTTTGCTGCCGTTTTTGCCAACGTGTGGAAAAGTTGTCCCCAGATGCTTGATCTTGATCTTGCGGCCTGGTCTGGGCTGCGCGCCTGCAGCGTCGAGCGCTGACTTCGGCCACCTGTCCCTCGCACCCGTCGTGCAAACGCTGGGGCATTTTGTGGTCCTGGGCTGGTCCTTCCGAGTCGCCTTGCTCGCCCTGCGGAGCAGTCCCGTGCCAGTCCTACGCCTGTCCCGTGCCAGCCTGGCCAGGCCACAGTTCTGGACAGAGTGGTCCTGGGCACTTGCCGATCCTGCGGTGTGCGAGCGTGGCGGCGACCGTGGCGGCGCGGACGGCGGCGGCAGGCGCGCTCGTCGCCGCGTGTGCGGCGCGTCTCGAGGTGGAGCTGTTCGGCCTGCTCAACTTCTACCAGAACTACGAGTACATTTACAACAGGATCGACAAGGCCAGCCCGGGGAGGGGGGAGGCGCCGCGCACGTGTGTCCAGGCCTCCCACATGAGGTCCGAGCAGATGAGGTCGGAGGAACGGCTGCATCGCCGATGCATCGGCGATGCGGCTCGATGAGGAGCCCTATTTTCTCCTTGTCGACGTGGCTGGTGACGTCGCCGACATATTATATTGTCAATGCATCGGCAATGCATCGCCGATGCGGCGCGATCCTCCGACCTTACTCTGACCCCATTTGGGAGGCATGTAGTGTGTGTTACCCTGCATGCGAGCAAGGCGGCATTGACCTGAAAGTCTGTATACGTATCCAGATGCGCTGCCGCGCATGTCTGCCACTGCGTCTGCGGGAGCTGCAGGGCAGCATTGTGGCACGCACAGCTTCCGAGTTGCATTGCTGTTGCGTTGCCTCTGGCGGCTTTGCGGGTGGCTCCGGGAGGCATGCCAGGGGCCACTCGAGGGTGTCGTCCGGGGGTATGGGGGCCATTTGGGAGGGCAGTTTTTTGCTCGTTTCGTCAAGTCTGGGGAGGGGGGAGCTCCGAGGCCAGGTGATCGGCAACTTCGGAGCGAGCAGCAGATGCGGGCAGGGCCGTGTGTCACAAAGCGGGCTCCGAGGATGCAAAGGAGGAGGAGGAGGAGGAGGAGGA